CACACACACACACACACACACACACACACACACACACACACACACACACACACACACAAGAGGACAATAGAAAAACATGAGAACTAATATAAATCTAGAAATTACAAGAAAAAAGGAATTAAACCAATAAAACTAGGAAACCTAGAGCAAAGTAAAGCACAATAGAAACAAGACCATGACAACCTTATAATGGTTTTATTTTTGCGCTGACTTTCTTCTTTCTCTCTCTTGAATACAATTCTGATTTTTATAGCTCACCAATCCCTGTTCACACTGAACCAGATTCTGCTGGAGGTTGCTTCCCGTGTAAATTGCGTTTTTTCCTTCTGCTGTCGCTACATGCCTTCTAATTCACCTCTGTATGATTGGTTTCAACTAATGTATATATTTTCACTGGAAAATGTTCAAACTAAACTGAATTTTCTTGCTCCGTCGATTACGGTGCACAGACATGTCTTGGCAGGTTTGTTATGTTACTGTTTCCATTTTCCAATGATGGTTTGAAGACGGCTCTGTAAGAGGTTTAAAGCCTGCTTGACATTTCTTCATCACTGCAACTTTACTTTCAGTACTTAATTTACTCATTACTTTACAGTAATGAGTAAATTCCTAATGAGTATTTTCTGTTGGAACTTCCCAAAAAAGTGATAAGGTTTAGGGGTACAAATGCTTTTCTAATTTAGTTTCCAGTTTCCTGAAGTATATCTTTGAACAAAGCTAAGAATAATCTGGAATCAGCGATAATCATCATTTGATATTTTGCTAACACTTATTTGACTCTTAAAAAAAAAAAAAGGTTATGATAAATGTTTGATTTTTTTTGACCCATAGAAGCATTGGGTATATATATGTTTTCTTGGAGACATTATGTGAGCAGGAAAGTGGCTGTGTGTGAGGGGAATTGTCACCTTGTACTGATAGGTCGGATCGAGCTTGTTCCAGGGCTCAGGGTTACTCTTTTTGTCCCAGAAACTGCAAATGTAAGAAATTCACAGAGAAGGAAAAAAGAGAAAGCCGAATACAAATGTGAGAATTGAGCATGAGAAAGAGAAAAAAAATAGACTGCATACAGGGTAAATAAGGAGGACAAGATTATGAGGATTTCGGATTATGTAACAAATTATGAAGAAGAAAAGAGGAGCAGAAGGACGGAAGTGAAATGAGACTCAAAACTGAAAGGAGACAGAAGTCAGGAGGGGAAAAAAAGTGATTATGAGATGAAGTCAGCTCTGTGAATTGGCAGTTCTTTCCCTGTTCATTAACCAAAATCTGGATTTCACAGCACTCCAGCGCGACAGTCCATTCCTCTACTTCCCCCTCCACAAGCACATTATGCTGCCAAACTACAAACAAACTGGGATGACAGCAGGAGCGTGTCTGTCCTCCCGTGTGTCCATTACAACAAACACTGGGAAGCCTCAGAGGGAGGAAGCAACTGACCACAGCACTCATCACCAGCTGGTGATGAGGTCAGGCTTTACGGCTGACCCCCAGAACAAGAGGTTCTGTGTGTTCTGAAATGGAACGTGATCCATCTACATTTACTCTACGTGAGTGGTCACAGGGTTTGCTGTGATTGGTGTGGCTCAGCACACAAAATCTAAGGATTTTCTTTTTCTTTTCTATTTCTACAACTGGTTTATCTCTTTCTTTTTAAAGAGTTTGGGATCTCTTCTATGTAACGATTCATATAAGGCATATATTACCCTAAAAGATTCAATTAGACTTCTATCAAAAAATACCATGTTGTTTTATGCAAACACATATTTAAATCTTTAAAATGTTATCTTTGCTGTGGATGGATATGTCAAGAGTGGCTGCTGTTCACCTGGAGACCTTCCTGTGTCAATCAACATTATGTCTACCAAATAGAAGAGTAAAGCAGTGAAAATGCTGTTTAATAACAACAACTATATTTTTAAAACAGCTCTACTCTAATTTTTACATTTTGTTCCATTCTGAGTATTTATTTCCCCCCGGAAAGGTATTATTAAGGCATTGCCTACAAGCAATGATATCACAATAATTGATTTCTTCAAAAAAAGAAAGTAAAAACATTTCCAGTGGAAGCATGACTTCATAGATCCTAATTAATAACGCTTAGACATTTTAAACATGTTAATTATAAGATTTTTCACATTTTGCAATCCAAATGTTCCATGTGCAAAATATGTTTTTAAATGTGCATATTTCACATGTGAAGCTGGAAAGACAGCCATACTTAAATTTTATTTATTATTATTATTTATTTATTTTGTGGGGATTAAAAAGGTTTTCAAAAAACAGCTCTGATAATGTGTAAAATGTGAGTCGCTAAATGTGAGTCGCTACATAAAACATTTTTTTTCCCAAGCTTCCAATACTTACTCCATACACAAATGAAAAGACACCATGTACTTTGAATTATTTGTGTGTGTTGACATTTCTCATAATGAGTATAAAGTAAAAGAAAAAAAACATGTTTTATTTTATTTTATTTTGCTAAAAAAACAAACAAACGCCCGCCTGCATTCATTATAGTATAAAAATAGGTGGACAATTGAAAAAATATGTAAAAATGAATTAAATGTATGTGATATCCCTCCACTTCCAGATGGGTAGACAGAATTTGCAGCTCATTGTAATTTATGAGCTTAGCTCTGAGTCTCTGTTTTGTAGAATAGGATTTTTTATTTTTTATTTTTACTTTCTTTAATGACATTCTAAAATTTGGACCTGGATTCTGCTAACATGATCAGAATTTACCTTCCCTGTTAGATAAACTTGAGTCCTGATCTGTTAGCTACTTCATATCCCTATGCAGAACATTACCGCCCTCATGCTTCAGAGTTGTCAAATTTGTTGTTCTATTAAATGTATTTATTTCCCCTTTAGTCAGCATAATGTTTGATAATGGTGGCCAAAGAGCTCCATAATGTCCTTCTTACCGACCCAGATGTTGCTGTGCACACTTCCCCACCTTTTATCCGAAACATGTTGGTCAGCTTTCCCTCTTCTGATTATTTTATGGTGTCTGTCTGTTTCATAGCTGCAGGGAGAAACAGTGCAGTGCAGCACCTTTTGTCAGCTAAACCCTCATTGAGTGGCTCTGCAACTATGAGGCAAGGATTTTAACAATATTACAAATACATAGTTTGGCTCTTGTTGTCATATCACCTGTTTCTGAACACAATAGAATACAAACAATACTACTTATTGGCACCTCTGGCAAAATAGTTAAAAAGAAAAATATAAGAGATTCATTTACACTAATACCCTAATCTCAAAATTAAGGTTTAAGTAGAATATAGAGTATGGATAAATGTATTAACTGATGTAAAAGCACCTTTCTATACAGCTATCTATCACATACTGTCACTTCATGAAAGAAGTATGAAATATATATATATATATATAAATATATATATACTTTTTGAAAATTTAAAAAAGATTCTTTTTTACAGCCTCTTAGAGCTTGAAAAGGTTATCCATGACTTTTTGTTTTTCTTGGGATGTAAATAATATGACATTATTTTATTTTTCTTAGTTGCTCTTTAGATGGCAACAAAATAAGGGATCATGCCGTTTAAGTAAGATGTCTGTGGACATGACATAAGTAATTATGTTTTTAATGGAAGCAAAATGTGAAAATTCCAAGACTCTCTTTTAGAGACCTGCTGCAAAGTTTGTCCTCTTTGATTTAAAAAGTCATCACTAAAACACTGAACAGTGCTGTATGTTATTTAAACACTGTACCATGTTGGTCTATCACATAAAAACAAAACACTTTCTAATAACTAAAAGTTCATGGTTATAATGTAACAGCTGAAGAAACACAAACATTTCAAAGGATCATTCTGTGCAATAAAACAAAAATAAAACAGCAGATGCAATATTATTACACTGGGCAGTCTTACGTGACATGGGGCCCTCTTGCCAGTCGGATCAGGTAGAGCATGGCCCCCGAGAATCCCAGAGTCATGAAGAAAAACTGAGGGATTAACTAGAGACAGGAAAGGAAGAATAAATTAGCCCTAAACCTCGATGATACAACATAAGAACTGCACATCATATGAAGCCGTTGGCTATGAAACCAACATGCATCTGTGTGGAAACACACCGACACAAAGATGCAGGTAGTTATTATCATTCTCCTTTCACCTCTCTGTGCCCTTTTGCATATGCATGAAACTCAGGCCATGTGTGAGGTTGTTCACTGTCAACATGGGTTGAACCGACAAGGACACAAAGGAAGCAAAAGCCATCATCTGCATGTGTGTGTGTGTGGGTGTGTGTTTGCAGCAGATTTTCGTTAACAGTATACCTGTCAGACTGAGAAACACACATACACACACAAACCACACTTCTTTCCAAAAAATGGCATATTAAAGCACGTGCTGCTGCTTAATATTTGTGCAGAGGTTCTAACTGCTGACACAGATAGGAATTAAAGTAAAAAAAAAAGTATTTTAAGGGGACAGGGGGATTATGTGATTTGTCATCTTAAACACCTAAGCTTAGGTGAGAGAAACCATAAACCGCGCTGCATCTATTTGTCAACACTTTCCTGAGTGGTTCTGTGTACGAGTCGGACGGGAGAGTCACACCGCTGGCGAACAGCTGTTTGCAGCTCAGACAGATCTAGTCGAGCTGTAGAGAGCTGACAGTTTGATCAGGTTGAACTGAAGGATGTCTCTACTCAGCTGCATCCAGACATCTGTCTCCCACAAATTGCACTGCCACTTGCTTTACCTCATTAAGAGGATGTCTAATGACAAAACTTTATTTTTTTCCCCCCGAAATTTTAAGTTCTGGTTAATAGCTACGGCAGCATTGCCTCTGTTAAACCCCTAGAATCCCAGAGGATTGCTAGAAGACATACAAGCGGAAAAGTGGGAACATGTTACACAAACATAAGTTAGTAACAACAGGTCGTGTTATTTAACCTGTATTTCCCTATTACGGGAATAAAGGAAATTATTATAGCATGTTCCCTTAACTGCAGTGTATTTAAGACCAGATGCAAATGCATCTTTTTGTGAAAATATCTGATATTTCATTAGATGAATTTTGTTCATACTTTTTTCATGCAGTAATTTTATAGAGAAGAGTGACAGAGGAGGACATTGAAACCTTTCCCTGAGCCCCACACTCATATCTGTAGGGCTAAGGTTGAAATACACTATATTAAAAAGATTTCTTTTGCTCACCTGAGTAATATACCACTCTTAATCCATTGGGTTTAACATGGTGTTGACACACCGTTTTCAAGTTATAACAACCTTAAGTCTTTTAGGAATTATTTTACCGAGGTTTAGGATTTTTTTTTTTTTTTTTTTTTATAAACATTTTTGTCCATTTCTTCCAGAGGAGCATTTATGAAGTCAGACACTGATGTTGGAGAAGGACAAAATTAAAGTTTCTGGTTTAATATATCCCAGAGGTGTTCTGTTGTAGTAAGGTTAGGATTATATTCAGGGTTGCTGAACTTATTCCCAGCATAAAAAAAAAAAAAAAAAGCAGTTGTTGGAAAATCTGGATTTATCCCAATTACCGGGGATTCATCAGAATTATACGTTTTAGCTTCTCAGCAATCCATTATCAGTGTTAATGTATCCTTTTATCATAAAAGTCAATCAGTTTTCAGTTTGACAGTCATCTACTAAAAATCCAAGGTGGTCATTTTAAAATGTTACTGTACATTTTAGATGACCGTGTTTGCAAGAATCCTTACTGTAATTCTGTGCAGATCTGTTATGTGCACTCAATTTCTACATCAGAGGTTCTCTTAGTGCTTATTGTAATGTCTTTAGGTTTCTCAGTGCAATTCTGCCTGAGGAAACCAAAAGCCGTGCACATTGGTTGGTGATTCATCCAAACACAATTTAGGAGGAAATATCTTAATTAAATTTATATGACAATTCAATCGATTTGAAACAGAGAGACTAGTTCAAAGTTTTCCACAGAAACCCTTATTCAAATCAAGTCATTGAGTTTCCAGCATTGGCTCCTCCTGAATCATATATATTTATATCATCTTTCTGTCTGTCCATCCATCTATTTGCACTTTTTTTATCCTTTCCTCAGTCCATCCATTTGTCTTTCTCTTTTCATTTGTCCATCTACTATCCATCTATTATTTTGCCAACTGATTTATGTTCTGTGATCCATAATTTGTCCATAATCCATCCATCTCCTTACAGCTGCTGTCTTTGTATGTTCCATACTTAGTCCCTTCCCTCAGTAAAAGTATCTACAGAAATTTCCTGTTGAACCTTATGCTACGAAATGTGCTTTATTTCAGTTATAGCTAAGATAATACACCTCAAACTGTGACAAAAAAAATAAAAATGAAGAAATTTGAGTGAAGAAAAGTGCTATTTTGACTTTTGAAGCTGTGTGGGGAACCCTATATGTGGTACAGAATCTCTACAGACTTTATGACCTTGGAAATTGGTTCATAGAAAGCACACACACTGTGGGCTGAGTGCAGAGGCATCAGCTCTGTCATCGCTAGAGTAAACACAAGCAGCAACACTCACACATATACACATAGAAGCAGGTCAGCTTTGATCTGACACACGCACACAAACATGGAGCAAATAATGAAGACATGCTTGTGTATAGGAGGCCGTCTACTACATGCTGCTCATATCTTCCCACTGAGCCACACAACTGAGCAGTTCACCTTTCACCATCCAGACTGACCAATATAGGAAGTGTTTTATACTCGCAGGGGTTCGATACTGTTGCTGCCCTTATTACTTTTCTGGTGCGCTGCCAAGCCTGCCCTGTCAGTCCATGAATTTGGGTCACCCTCAGTACAGCTCTAAGGCAACAGAGGAGAAAAACAAGCACACACACAGCTTGTGTCATCCTTTCTTCCATTTATTTATTAAGATAGTAAAGCAAATTAAGAAGGCAGGGAAATGATGTGCCGCCACAGTGCCTGTTTCAAGCATTTCACTTTATTTAAGAACTTGCATTCAAGGTTCTTCTTTTAAGTTTTCTGTGCATTTCGAGCTTTCAGCCGAACAGTTCACCCTTTTCTCTGTGTTATTTCTGTTGTGGATTTATTTTTGCATAAATTACTCAGTAATAGAAGCTGTCATGGCAAAAAAGGGGGGGTATTGTTTCTATTGAAACAGCAGTGGCTCCTTTTTACGGTAGTTTTTTGGTCATTTTGCATCATATTTTCATTTTATTTAAAATATTTTATATAAACATGCAAAAAAATCTTTATATGGCTTTGTTAGCCCCCTTTTCCCATGCACAACCTTTAAAAATGCTTTTAAAGTAACTTAAATAAATTATTGGCTTTATTCCAAGTTAACAAATGTTCAGTTTATACTGCATGTCTATGTATAAATCAAGTAGTTTTAAAGATAGTAAAGTCCTCGCAATTTTCTCTTGACTCATAACTACATAATTTAACAAGGAAGGAATAATAATTAATGTCTTTGAAATAATTAGCACTCAACAAACAACAAGCAATCCAACCTACCCCTGGATGTTTCTTCGCATGCTGAATCATGTGTTTAATCATCTTTATTATTCCTCTGAAAATGAGTCCACCTTAATAAAAACTAAACCACATAAAAACAGGGACCAGTCACCAACTGATGACTATATCCATGTGAGATAATGTCTCTGTGCGGATTTATTGAAAGAGCTTTTTTTTTTTTTTTGTTGGCTGACGTACAGTTTGTCCCCCAGAGCAACAAGACCTGTTGCCAGTCTCCCGTTCTGCCTCCCTCCCGTTGCACAAGAGAGAGGGTCAAAGGCTAGAGAGACAGAGGCAGAGACGTAAGTCGTAATCCTCATAATCACATCTGTTCATAGCGCTGAATGTTTCCACTGAGGCTCACCCAGGGATCTGTGTCCTAAACTGCTTTGCCGTTCAGCAGTATACCTGCTGGGACTAAAGCTACAGTGCAGAACAGTTTGTTATTGTCAACGGGTCACTTTTTAAAAGTTTAAATCCTGCTTAAACCTCTAAAATGATCCCTTTCTGAGATGTTGGACGCTGCTTTTTTTCAGTTTGTTTAGCTAAGAATGAGAATTGATAGCAACAGAGAGCTTGTCCCCTGGGTGCAGACCATGATAATGGCAATTGATTAGTCAATGATGCTGCACTTGCAGACTATAAAGGTTCCCTTACATCCCTCTACAATCTAATGAACCTAATGCAATTAATACTTTAATGCTATGCTGGGGAAATTGCACAAACTATTGCTATTCTTTACTTAAGGTAACTGCTGCTGTTACATCGTTTATCATACTTAAGGGATGATGTGAGACAACTTTACGTTGTCTCACTTCATCATGATTTTTCTTACCCTTAAACGTAATTTATTTGGATATAATGTGACACAAAAAAAGTAAAATGGTTTATAAGAGTTAATAAGCCTAAAGTCTCAAGGTAACTTTGGTGTGAAAGTCAGTTATGAGTGAGGCTGTGGAGATCCACAGCAAAGATCAATACATTTATCAACAGCACAACTATTAGTTGAACCTTTGCAGAAAGAAAGCCATAAAAAGTTTCTCACAAGAAATGTGGTAACAAAGCGAACATGTTAAAGAAGTTTCTCTGATCAGATGTAACCACAAGTGAGCAGTTTGACCGATATGAAAAATGTATGTGTGGAGGAAAATTACAACTGCATATCAATGTGAATACACAGTCCCTGGTGAAAAACATGGTGGTAGCAGCATAATGTTGTGCAGATACTTTTCCTTGGAATTGACTGGGATGGTGATCAGATGATAGGATTATATAGGGAGCTAAATATAGGCCACTCCAGGAAGAAATCCTGTTAGAGACTACAAATGTCTTTCCCTTAGCACCTACTGTAGCAGTACAGCGACCCTAAACCTACAACTAGTATGAGGTTAGAATGTAGAATTTTGATTCATTTTATTGGCACTTTATATGCCCTGGATTTATTTGCAAAGATAAAGAAGCATACAAAATAAGTCAGGGAAATAAAAAAGTCAGGGACAAAAGCATTAAGAGATAAAATATTCTTAATAAACAAATCCAAAACTAAATTAAAGTCTAAAAGAAAATAATATTTTATTTTAAACAGTCTGAGAATCAGAATATAAAAGAAATCGCCCAAACTAAACAATAAACTTATTAAACAGTTCCCTCTACAACTGAGAGCCGACAAGAAGACCAAAGCCACCAAATAAAGAAACAGTCTGTTTCTTTGCACAGCTTTCCTCTGTGTGGAGTAGGGTGGAGGCAGCCATACAACTTTATTATCTGCAGGATCTGCAGGAGGTAAAGGGCCTACAGAAAACTAAAGTCCCAGCCAAACCGTCCATGCACTTCTGAGTGTAACAAATCTACAGTACGTGAAAGGACTTGAACATTTCTGTTCTGTCTAACTATTGCGTTACTTTTGAGTTTCTCGCCCCCGTAACCCTCAACACCCAGCCCCCACCTTCTCACCGTGTGTTTCCAAAGCCAGCTGAATAGAGTGGA